TAATTTTCTCTGTTTCTTGCTGCCTCTTTATTTTTCTGTTTTGGGTGCCAGACCTTTTTTGTTCTCCATTGCTCAATTTCTCCTCCTGTGCGAATACACTATTAGACTGTAGGCGAGCGATCTTTGGCAATGATTGAATGCTGCCTTGGTCGCTGGGTAACCCACACTACTTGCGACCACTTGCGCTCGTAATAGGTCTATGCTTGCGACCGATAGCGCTCTGTGCTGGTACTGTACAAATCTATTAGTATGTGCTATTTAACCAATTTTCATTAAAAGGACTTTCCAAACCTGCTGAACGTTGTGCAAGTATTACAATGGTTGTAATTTACGTTTATTAATTTTACTTTTCTTTAAAATTTATTTAAAGCCGGCTTTGGCGCCTCCCTCCTGCAGCACCCCCATGCATTGCATATATTGCATACCCCTTTTTTTCCACCTCTGAAGGGAAGCCTTTGCAGGGACTGGAGGAGAGGCATGCCAGTAGTGGGATGCTTATTAGTCATGTGCAAAATCTTCCATAGCCAGCTAACATTGCATTCTCTGTATTTTTCCCCCTAGTATGTCAGCCTAGTTTTTGTGTGAGCTGAAAATACAAGAACTGAATTAAGATTCTCACATTGTGAGAATGATCTGTCGATGCTACTTAAATGTAGAGCTGGATATTAGACCGCAATACTGGAGTTGAAGTGAACTGAGTGAGTTTACTGGCCCATCCTTTCTTATTCTGTTTATTCCAAGGAGCCCTTGATTTTGCATGCTGTAACTAGACTGATGTTGTATACTGGGCATAGATATTGGATGTAGAGGATTGTGCAGGTATGCTGTCTGAATGCTGTGAAGAATAAGAGAGCTTTCACATTCTATCTGTTCATACAGGCTCTAGCTGGACTTTATCTCACGCTTATTAACAAACTTTGCCAAATTAAGTAATCAAATAATAAGCACAATAAAATAAAACAACAAAAAAGCAGCGGTATGCCAGTGAAGGGTGGAAGAGAGTCAGGTTCAGTTGAGTCACTCAGGCCTCTAACACCATTCTCTTTCTCCTTTCTCAGTGAGGATGCGATGGAGGTCTCGAAAGAGTTTGTCACCTCAGTGGTATTAGGAAAGGATCTCGTCCCCAGGTCTGTGGTCACCTCTCTGTGTGTATTTGTATATGTAGGTATATGTTGCAAAACACTCACAACAGAACCAGTCATATATATTGAGCAATAAGTTGAGCAATATGTCTTTGGTACAAACCAGAGCAGAACAAATCCCTTCTCTTAAGAATTAGTCTTATGAGGGTAAAGTCATGTTTGGGCAGGTGGTATTCTTATGAGAAGAATATACTGTTGTTCTGATTTAAAACCATTTAAATTAAGGGTTGATATTTATTCTGAAAGAAACACTCATGTAATGTTAAATGTGGATACAAATGATAAAATGATTCAAAGAAGTAAAAAATGGGCTGTTTATTTGTATTTAATAAAATGTAAAGATTCTATTATGATGACAAAATGAAGACCCTTATTTTCATCAGTATCTTTACTTCACTGTTTCAGTACCCATCCAGGCAAAATGTGTTATGTCTGTTGTATTCCCAAAATTTTATTGGCTCTTCCCTATCTCTCTGTTTTGCTTTTTTGCTATCTAGACTTGAATAAAACATTCAGTGGTTGATTCACCTATGTATAATTAAAATTTGAGAGATCATTTATCTTTGAAACTTGGCAGATTTATGTCAGTCGTCACAGAGGTGCGTTTTGGTGGTTCCATTACTAAAGACATAATTTTTTCTTATTTTGGCTTTTGGGATCTTGCTAATCATGAAAAATCAGCACACAGGTTCCCACAGGTAGAGTATCTAGTACACAGGTGGTCACAGGTAGAAGAGGTAGAATGCATGTTCCATCCAATCTGCTTCATTCTTTCTCTCCAGCCAGAAGACTCCTTGTGAGAGCATGCAATAGGCTGTTTGTATACTACTGCTAGGAGTAAAAACATGTTTTCTGAAATTAACCCCCATAGAGTGCTGTACCAGCTAGCAAAGCAGTGCGTGCTTGGAATTTTTGTCAGAACGTAGGTCCTGTAAATAGTTTTCTCAGCATTTGTTTGTCACTTAAGAACAGCTTAATGTGTTTGAGCTTGTGTATCCAGATAGCTCTGATAAATCCAGAATACAGTAGTATGTCATTATGGGAGGGTGAAAATTGTTGGTCCTCTAAATATGTGGAGCTGTTGTGTGTTATCAGTAACTCTGATTTCAACCAATCACGGTATTTTGCTACGGAGAGAAGATGACTGAGAGCACATAGCAACACCCCCAACTTGTTCATCAACCCTCACTCTCCCATAGTTATTAGTATATAGTTTGTAGAGTTCTGTCTCTCTTTAAAGTTCTTAGTGTGGTTTAAATAGTCTCTCCTGCTGGTTACGTGTCTCTCAGGATTGGTCTCTCACAGCTTGAAGGCTTCCGGCGCCACCTATTGGAGGTTTTACAGAAAAGCAACAAGCCAAAGGTGAGTGGTGCAGGATACTCTTTAAGCCTTAGTAATTCTGCAGGTGAGCTGTGTTTGTTTTCTAGGTAAGGTGTGGGAGAGGGTTAGCTATGCTCTTTCTCTGTGCAAACAGATGGGTTGCACACTGGAGGCCTAGTAAATCACACATGTAATATTATGGAAAATGTTCTGTTCTCATTTAAATGTGACTGCTGTAAGTGTGGCCCATTTCAGTATTTCACAGTGTTCTGTGTGAAGAGGACAGAGGAAGGTTAGACATGCTGGGGCACAGTCACCCATGCTGGTAGGACCTTGCCCAGCAGGGCTCAACATCTTCTGAAACGTCTTTGAGAAAGATTATTATTGAATGGCCTTTGAGCTTGTGTGACTCAGCTTGAATCTGGAAAAATTATGTGAAATTTTCTATACATTAGTTTGCTTCTGTTAAGCAGAGCATGTCTCCAAATTACTTTTCAGGCTTTTTAAAATGTTCACACTGAAGTCCCTGAAGTTACATATTTACTGACTTCCAGTCTGTCCCATTCTCACTGGCTGGTGAAACCCACATAACTGCTTGCTTTGCTTTTATGGTCACAGTGGACATGCAAACCTTCAGGGAGTCTGTGTCCCAGTGTCAGGCTTCAGAAGCTCAGTGTTAGCTCAGCTTGGGGTGTGTATATGAGCTCCTGTACTCATCCCAGCTTATGCCCATAAGACTGTGTGAGGCTTCACAGAGCTGCAGTTAATGCACACAGAGTACTGTTATTCATGTGCAGGTTGCATGGAGACTGCTGCAATGCGGCTAAGTGCTGAGTCAGGGTGGTCAGTCCTCTTTGCACTGATGCAGAGCAGTGCTGGCTAACCTACCAGGCCTGCATATGTGACCTCTGAAGTTCACATGAAGTGGAGAACTGCATTAATGCTGTCAATCCCAATGCTGTAGTTGGAATCTTGGAAATGCAATGCTATTACACCATAGACAAACATGAGGGTGCTTTTCAGCAAGGAGTCTTGAAGTTATCATTCAATTTCTATGCATCCATGTGTTTTTAGAGTAGCTTCCAGAATGTGGAATTTTTGATCACTTTCTATGTTGTGATGCTGTAGGGGTAGGACTAAGCCCTGTTACCCCCTGACCCTACTTCAGCAGACCTCAGGGCAGCTATGCCTGCAGGAATTCAACAAAAAAGCCAGTGTGCTCCAAGCTGACACAGTGTAGCCCAAGTTAACACACAGAATTAGTTGCATTCTGAAGTGGGTGAAAATACCAGGTCTCAAGACTAGGCATGTCACGATACCAGAAATTTAGTAGTCGATACCAATACCAGTGAAATTCCCTGATTCTCAATACCCAATTTGATACCACGGTAAAAAACAAAAACAAAACAATAAATCCCATGTACTTCAACATACACTCCTTTGCTAAAAACATTTGAACATTACAAAAAACAACAGTGGTATATAGCCTTCGAGTAATAATAAAAAGAAACAACTATTAACATTACAAAAAAGAACAGTGGCGTGTAGCCTTCAAGTATTTAAAACAAACAATACTGTACTTAATTACAATCAACTTTTTATGATGGTACAGCATTTCAATTGCAGTACCTGTCCAAGATGTGAAACAAATATGGAAATAATAAATAGGCCTATATATAATAATAAAAAGAAACAACTATTAACATAACAACTATTACAAAAAAGAACAGTGCCATTGTATTTTCTGTGGCTCTGAAAAGCATCTGATACGGTTGGCTGTGTATGTGTTTGCTGACTTTGCTCCTTTCTCACCTGGTTGACATCCTCCTCTGGCTGATGCTGTGAAATTATGAGATTTCAGTTAGCAGGCATAGCTCAATGACTGTAAGAAAACATCAGAGGCTGCACACACAATGTACTATCACACAGACACACACACACCTCTATATACTCAGAGTGCAAGCAGTAGTTTAAATTTACTGACATGGTGACAGACCATTAGTCCGGAAATATTTATTTAAAACACTAACGTTATATTTTGATGACAGATGACACAGACTGAATGGTAAGGACGGTAGCCTACTACTATGAGCTATGGTTACGTTACGTTAGCCTAAACATGTAGGCTTTAGCGTTTAGCCATTGCAAACCTATGGAACATAGTTGGCTACACAGCAATGCCAGCTGTCTCAAACAAAAATAATGGTAAGGTGTATAAGGATAACAAAGATAACACTTTGGATACGTTGTTAATGTAACGTTAACATGAATTGAAAACTCATTCACCCTGAATTCTTTGAACAAATCTGGATGTCTGTCTTTGAGGTGCTTCCCTAAGTTGGAAGTGTTTCCTCCTTTCGTCTGAAAAGTTCGATGGCACCGTTTGCGTACTGGTTTTTGCGAATTTATGATTAATCCCTGATGATCTGCCTTGAACGCAAAGTATTCCCATACACGACTCTTACTGTTTTTCTTTTCGACGAGTCGAGGCGTTGCTGTCGTTGCAGCTGCACTTGTCGCCATATCATATATAGAGGCAGCAGTGTAGCATAGTGGTTAAGGAGTGGGACTGTAACCAAAAGGTTGCTGGTTCGATCCCCGCTAGGACACTGCTACTGTACCCTTGGGCAAGGTACTTAACCCACAATTGCCTCAGTAAAATATCCGGCTGTATAAATGGATAACATTGTAAAGAACTGTAACCTATGTAAGTCGCTTTGGATAAAAAAAGCGTCTGCCAAATGAATAAATGTAAATGTAAATATCTAAGTGTTGTTGTTCTTCCGTGCTGGTAGGCGGGCAGACTGGAACACTTCAGAATTTAGTTTATTGCCAAGTAGGTTGCCCCTACAAGGAATTTTTTTGGTATGATGGTGCTCTATACAAATACAACACCAAGTACAATGAGTAATAAAAGCAACAAGTACCGAAAAACAAACAGGCATATATGCTGCCCCCGTCAGGTCCGGAAGAAGCATCAGGACCTACGGTACTGTAGAAAAACGAGTACCATCACGTTTTCAGAATTTTGGCATCGACTTGGTACTGAAGTATCGGTTCTCATGACATCCCTACTCAAGACTAGAGGTCAACCGATATATTGGTTTTGCCAATATATCGGCCACTATCGGCCCCTTTTGACACTTGTTGGTCCATGTCAGTATTGGCCTCCTCATATCGGTTTTGCTAATATTTGTCCAAATCTGCTTTTGTTTACGCTATCTATGGCAGGTTTATTTTAGGCTACTTTAACTAATATATACTATTTCCTAGTGCACTATATGAAAAGAAACGGAGCCAGCTGTCAGGAGAACATGCAGAGACCCTCTGCTTCTTACATTACAACTTGGTTCTCCTGAACTGGGATTACTGAAGTGTTATGTGATGTCTGAACATTTTATCTACTTTCTTATTTTAAACAGTGTTTTTTTCACTTTAGGTTTTTTACATATTACATAAACAGATTTTTTCTACTTTTAAGTTTGTAAAAGAATAATTATTTACCCAATAAAACGGAATTAGATCTGTATATTGCCTGTTGTTTCTCATAGAAGGTATTTGCAAACAAATTCATTATGATTTCCTTTATGTAGTTTTGTTATTACAACAGCCAAATATGATAAATGAATATCGGCCCAAAATATCGGCAAAATATCGGTTATCGCCCATCCTCAGCCATTAGATATCAATATCGGTATCGGCCCTACTCAAGACTTCGCCCATTCCATGGGAAGTGGTACAGGGTGGGAGGTCCTCTCTGTTCAGTTGCTGTGAGCTAATAGTAAAGACACCTTCTGTGCAATGACAATAAAGGAATCTATCTATCTTCACTCTAAATATGTTATTAGAACAGATTCAAGTGAGTGTCAAGTTTGTATGGAACCAGAATGAAAATTGAGATTATGTATTTGTCTTAATGTGGTTTTTTGTTCTCTTTATCTTCAGTCATTGATCATTTTTCTCTCTCTATCTGTCATTCATAGTGGCGGATTATCGCGGGGGGAACAAAGTGTATCCCTAAATCGGAGCTGCCTGTGGATGAGGACCCTCAGGTGCAGACAGCAGTGCCCCCCAGCACACGACTCTGGCTGCACCCCAGTGACCTGAGCATCGCCCTTTCTGCCTCCACCCCCCTTTACCCCCCTGGGAGAATCATTCATGTGGTGCACAACCATCCCCCTGAAAGATGGTGAGGGGTAGTGTGGGAATGAGAGAAAGGAGATGGGAGGTGCAGAGAGAGAACAAGGGAATGAAAAAATTATGAGAGGGTCAGAGAGGAAGGCTGAGGGAGAATCAGAGGTTTCATTTTCACATTGAGCGGGTGTACAAGCAAAGCTAACAGTGCTAGAGTGTTCTCTGTTCCTGTAGCTGACAGTACTAGAGCAGTGTTTCCCAAGGTTTTTTTCTGGGGACCCACTTTTTGAAAATGACAAACCATCATGACCCAATTCACAATAGGCCTTATCTATAAATTGTGAGAAGAGCGAGTTTGTGCAAAAATGAACGTTCCTGACCATTTTTACTGCCATTACTGCCATTTCCACATCAACTTATATCTTGAACAGGTAAACCAGCCATTTCGAAGAGATATATGTTTGATAAATCACAACTTTGTTTTACGCACGTGTTATTGAAAACATATACACGTTAAATACTTAAAATAAATGAGACCAAATAAATGCATTTAGGTGGATTTAACAAGCTATCTCATTGTTTTTATTTTCTCTCATCAGTAAAACAATACATTTTAAATACTTTATAAATGAGACAGAATAAGTGCAATTAGGCAGAGTTAACAGGCTCTCGTTTTTTTCCTCTCATCAGTAAAACAAACAGAATTTACGCTAGCCTTTCATACTAGATTCAATGTTATAAGTACAATTATCAGAACAATACGAACATTCAGTACTTTCAAAAACAAGATTCTTGTTGAAAGTTTTTTGAAATGCTCATGCATGTTATCAGAACAAGTAGGCTTGTGTTTAAGTGCAGCTATTGTTATCAAACAGTCAATCAATCAATTCGAACAGTCAACAATCAATTTGTTAACCACATCAGGTCTATTCCGCGTCAAATCTCATTAGGCATATCATGTGCTGGTTACCTGGCTAATGTGATAGGTGGGCCTGCTTGCTTTTTAGTATTGCATTCCAGGCCGGTGTACATGAGGAGAACGCAGGGTCTTTGTTTTTTTTTAGCCAAGCATCCATTTCTTGTGGCTGCCTGCAGAATCTGGCGGAATTATGGCGGAAACCGTGAGTGTGGTAGAAAACCAACAAGCTCCCTCATATGGCTCAAAGGTGTACTGCAGATATAAATCATAAATACAAGACTATGGAAGAAATTCTGCAAATTTATTTGGCGACCCAAATAAAATCTCCTGCAACCCACCTGTGGGTCGCGACCCAGTCTTTGAGAATGGATGTACTAGAGTGTTCTCTACTTCTGTCACTGAAAGTACTACAGTGTTCTCTGTTCCTGTAACTGAAAGAACTAGAGTGTTATATGTTCTGGTAGCTGACAATACTAGAATGATCTCTGTTCCCCTGTAGCTGTGGGCAGGAGGATCCCACATACTCTGCCCTGTGGGGTGACAACAAAGCCTTTGATGAGGTCATCATCTCCCCCGCCATGCTGAATGAGCACCTGCCCCATATGGTGATGGAGGGGCTCAACAAGGTCAGTGTATGTGTACATTTGTGTGTATCTGTGTGAATGTCTGTGTCAGTGTCTGTGAGTGTGCATGTAAATGTGAATATGTGTATGTGTGTTTGTGTTTGCTTATGTGAGAGTTTAAGTGTGTGTGTTTGTCTGTGTGTGTACGCACTAGTGGTGCTCTGTGTGTATTTATGTATATATGCTGGTGGCCCGCTTTTTGTGTGTATGTATCTACTGGTGTTGCACTCTGTGTGGTGTGTAGTTGGAGATGCATACGGGGTGGTAGGACTTCACAGTTGCTCAGTTTCAGCGCACTGGGATAAGTGCGTCTGTGAGTCCTGGTTCATTCTCTGTAGGCCTCTCCCCCTATTTTAGTGACAGCTCTCTTTCCTGGACTGCTGCTGTGCTTTGTTTTCCACCTGCTGTCTTTGCACTAGCAGGTGACTTTGGCTGCATTTTGTATGTATACACTGTTATGGTGCTGTTTTGTGTTTGTCCTGGTGGAAACTTTGTGTGCATATGATTTATTCAGTTGTCCAGCATTTGGCTGTCTGAGCAGAAGCCAAGGGGCATATTGGTTTGTAAGTGCTCCTTTTATCAAGTATGTGTGTGTGCACACGTGCGCGCATGCGCGTGTGTGTGTCGGTGTATGTGCGTGCAAGTGCGTCTTTCAGTGAGTGTTGGCGTATGATGGCTTTTGCTGCTGTTTTCGCAGGTGCTGGAAGGCATTGCTCCCAATGAGGGGCAAACAGAAGCAGAGCCAGGGGAGATGGAGGTTGAGGGCTCCCCGGCCAGCACTACCCCCTTAACCTCCCCAAAACATACCCTGTCTGCTTCAGAGCCACGCACCTTCCCCTGTACCCACTCTGAATCTGACGCACCCCCCCTGGCTCCAACCCCCTTTTCAGGGAGTGGTTCACCCTCACTGACTGACTAACACACCCTTTTCTCTCTAGATGAGGGTTGATATTCCTGGTTACTCTGATCACTGCACCTCTAATCATTGCTCTTTTGTGATTTCATGTTGACAGCAGCAGGAGTCCTCTCTTACAGCATCAGCACAGGGAGGAAAACAGTTACAGATTGATCTCCTGTACCTAGGAATCTGAGACACCGTGATCAAAAAACGCTTCATGAATGGCACTGTATCTGCCTCGTATTTTGACAAGCCCCAAATCCACAATGTGATATCTAGAGCTGGATGCTGTTTAATTATAAACTCACAGTTGAGAGCCTGACTCCAGATTTGGGGCCATACACATGCGAGGTGCAGAGCAGATTGTCTTTATCAAAATGGCTGTCCTTTCTGTAGATTCTGTTAAGTGTCTGTGGGAGTGAAGTGTCACTACTATGGACAGTATGCAGTTCTCTCTACGTGGGAGAGGCATGTGTCCAACATGGTTTCTGTAGGAATACAAGTCGTATTTCTGCGATGAAAAGTAGTGAAGAGACTTAGCTGTAGTCTCTCCCCTTGTGTCACACTTCACCAGTACAATACACAGAGCAGCATGGTGCACAGCAACCAGTCTCTGATGTAGATAAATATTTGAAGTAACACATTTCAGTATATAGACTTTAAACTTTAGAGTTTACCTCTTTAAGAAATGTTTTTTGAAATAGCTATATATTACTGAACAGAGAACAATTAGTGTTTTTAGCATGTATGGAAGGAAGTCTAAAACTCCCCTCTGCCCTTGTGATCCTGCCTCTTTTTCCTGTTTTTCCTGATAGGCTGCAGGTCCTCCTGGTTGGTTCTGTCTCTTGCTCATTCATTTCACCTGGCTTGCTCACCTGGGAGCTGGCTGTCTCTCTTCTCACTGTAGGTCTGCAGCACCACTGGGTTCTGGGTGTTTCTGGGCTTATTCCCTTTCAAAAACACTGGGGTTTTGAAAGGTAACAAGGATTTTCCTCTCCCTCAGTTAAGCCCTTGCTGCTGGGGATTGTGTGTGAGTAGAGT